GGCAAATCCATAACTACTAATTTATTAATTGAATGAAAAACACGTTACTAATGGAAGTAAAGTGAGTTTGAAGATTAATTACCATAAGCACAATGAACAAATGAGAGTGGTTGTTGGGATGATGATGAGAACATATGAAATGATTAATGGAGGAGACAAAGATAATTGATAAAATAAAAAGAGGAGATGATGTATTTGGTGCACTCTTCTATGGTTGGGTACTTGGCTAACGAAACAATACATTATACAATAAAACATAAAAATAAAATAATCCACTTAATGACTCTTCATTTTCTAACGCATTAATATTTTTTATGTAAAATTATATAATTATATATTATATAATATATAAAATATAAAACTTAAATAATATGATCGGAGTCGGGGAATCCATGGGGCGGATGGTACTTTCCCAATCCCCGCCCCAAAGTGTCATCGAGGGAACTTTTCCCTCCATCCCCATCCTCGCGGGAAAAAAAATCCCCAACTTCGGTGCTCCAAACAGATAATCCTCACAGGGATCCCCGTTAACAGATGTAAATTGACATGCCTATTGTCAACCTACCACCCGATGTATTTTCCCTACCATAGTCACCAGGGAGCCTCTCAGGTGCTGGTGGATCTTTAGCCATAGTTTCTACTTCTTTTTCTGACTCTGAATCTGAATGGACGGAGATTTTATCTTCTTCGGAGTCCAGTCTTGCTAATCTAACTTCTCTGAGCCTCGCGCACAAATTTATTTTGATTTTTGCATCGAAAGGAAAATCAGTTAAGGGTTCTCCTCCCATACAAATGTCAAAAATTGATTAATAAATAAAATAATAGGAATTAAAATTTTAGTTGGAGAGCAACAAAATTTCAATTGTACTAAAATTAAAACTCTATATTTTGATAGTCCCCGACAACAGTGCCAAAAACTTGATCGGTAAAATAGCAAGTATACTATTTTTCCTCTGTAGTAATAATGAGGAAAGTTTCCCAAATATCGATCTCAAAGACTGCATGTAAATATGGAGTTCAAATTATTGCTCAATTAAACAAAAACCAGTGTTTGGATTTGTTTTTCTAAATTAAGAAAATAATCTAAAGTAAATGGATGCAGTGAACTGTTTTGACAAATATGAGTAACATGCTAGAGAAAGTGTGTGATTTATTCCTGTAACAACTCTGAATTAATATTGCAACAATTTATTTTACATAATCAATTACTGATTCTTAAGGGTGTTTACTCCCAAGTCCTTAGTGAGAAAACTTTTAATCATTCATCCTAAGTCCTAAGTCCAAAGAAACTTACTGATGAAATTAAGCATTAGTAAATCAAGAATAGTCAGACTCCTATATGTATCCCTAGTCCTAGGTAATATTTACTATAGAATGTTCTCAAGAAAGTATTACCAACGACGGTCCAACCTAATTGATAATCATACATCAATCTCAATTTATACGAAAGAGAAAGCATTAAGAGCATCAAGAGAATAAATTAATTATAAAAAATAACATTGTCATTTCTAATAGAAATCCAAAGTCATTATAGATTCAAATCAGATACACCCCCTAGCATTGGGGGATTTAACTACTCATAATATTCAAGAAAAACATAATATAAAGTTTAGACATTACAAGTACTGAGATGAAATTGAATCTTCAATCGCTTCCTATCATGAAAATCTACATTCACCAAAGTCTTTGTGTTCTCCAATCTTCAATAGGTTTCTCTTTGTTGTATTGCCAAAAGTCCCCAATTATGATAACAAAACTCCCTTAAATAGAAAAAGTCCTTTTTTTGTATTTATGTCTCATAAATCAAATTTAAGTGCACAGTAAAATCAAATATGAAATAGCCAAATCACCCTTAGTTGTCAAATCTCACCGAAAAAGGAAACAATTGAAATCAGCGCGCACGTCTACTACGGCCAATAATTTGGTGAAATAGGGGTTATGTCTGCTACGACCAGTAGTAGGTGCTATGGGTGGTCGTAGAAGACCATTGGTTCTGCTATTTTCTTTGAGCTGCACCTCTGTTACAACATGTAGAAAGCACTACGAGTGGTTGTAGCAGGCCTACTGAAACTTGGCGAAAACTTCTCCAATTTTTCGTGTTTCTTCAAGGTTTTTGGTATAATCCTTCTTGAACTTTTATTTGAACCTGAAAACGATAAAGAAACACAACCCAAAGCATAAAATGCAAAAATGGAAATAAAGTGTTTAAAAATAATGAAAAGTTTAACTAAAATTAACGATAAACAAATGTGTAAAAACCACTTATTAGCAGTCTCAGTGTTTGGTTCATCTTCTGACTCATCATCATCAGACAAAGATACAGTGAACGCCTTTTTCTGCTTCTTGAGAAAGTTGGAACATTCTGGCCTAATATGACTAAAACCTTCACACTCATAACATTGAATACCTTTGCTTTGATTGGACTTATCTTCAGTTCTACTATTCTTTTGAGCATCATAGTTATTACTGATGTCAGATGAGATGTTCTGAACATTTGATCTTCCTCTTCTATCTATTCTTTTCAGAGTTCTATTGAATTTCTTCCCAAGTAACACAATGGTATTGGACAGAACTTCATCATTATCTAGATCAACTTTACTTTCTTCATCTTCAACATTGGATACAAAATCTATGCTTTTGTTCTTTCTCTCAGACTTGTCACTAATAGCCAACTCAAAAGTTTGAAGTGAGCCAATAAGTTCGTCAACTCTCATGTTGTTGATATCATGAGCTTCTTCAATGGTTGTCACCTTCATGTCAAATTTCCTAGGTAGAGAACTAAGAATATTCCTAACAAGCTTTTCTTCTGACATCTTTTCTCCCAAGGCACTAGATGCATTAGCTATATCAAGAACATTCATATGATATTTATGGATGGTCTCATCATCATTCATCTTTATATTCTCAAATTTAGAAGTGAGAAGCTATAATCTTGACATCTTCACTTTAGATGTATATTCATGAGTTGTCCTAAGAATTTTCCAAGCATCTTTGGCTACAGTACATGTATTAACCAACCTGAAAAATTCTTGTCCACTCCATTGAATAGAGCATTCAAAGCCTTAGAATTTCCAATAGCTAATTTATCATTCATATCATACTAATATTCCTCTGGCTTCAAAGACACGTTGTCATATTTGTCCTTATTTACAGGATGATCCCATCCTTTCAACATAGCCTTCCAAGCTTTGTTGTCCATAGATTTTAGAAAATCCACCATTCTAACCTTCCACTAATCATAATTTGAACCATCTAACAAAGATGATTTGTTGTTGTATCTTCCTTCTTTATTCATAGTACCAAAAATTATTCTCCCTAGAGCTCACCCAATAACCAGAACAGGGTGCATGCTCTGATGTCTATTGAAATTCTTGCACTTGCAATATAGATGTCAAGACTGGTGTCCTAACACCAACGCAATGTTAATACAGATGTTATGACATCATCTGCTGACAGAAAACACTTGCTAAATCTGAAGATTACGTAGAGAATAAATTGCAGAAATGTAAACAACACAATCAATTGTTAACCCAGTTCAGTACAACGTCACATACTCTGGAGGCTACCAAGTCAGGAAGGAAATTCACTATGATAATATTAGTTCAAAGCCTAAACAACCATAGTTTACAACTTCTTGCCTAATCACTATCTTGTACAACTTCTACCTAGACACCTTCTAGATATGAGGTCCCCTTCTCACTTCCAATCACATCAGTAATACGTACAATCACAAATCTGTGATTAGAATCAAAACAACTAAATAGAAAATTACACTTCAAATAAACAATACTTAGTTTTGCTTAAAAGTTTAACTAAGAACAATACTCAACTATTTGCTTAAAAGCTCATGAGTGAGAACAATCAGTCTACTTCAAATGTATCAAAAGATACACGAGTTACATCCAAAGAAAACACAAAAACCTTAAAAAAAACTCCCAAAATCTTAAATCCTTATATTGCACCCACGATTCTTTTCAATGTGAATGTTTGCTATTTTAGGTTTAACAAGTCCTTATTTATAGACTCTTACAGATTGGGTTTGGACTCTTCAATCAAATTCAATCTTCTGCTTTAAATCAGCTGCAAGATCTTCACACAAAAATAAGAACAAATCTTTAAAGTTTCCTAAAAAGTCTCCAAAATCCTTTTTATGAAATCAAATTAAATATGCACTTGTTTCTAATAAAATCTCCTTAACCTGTGCAAAATAATGAGATATATCCAAAAGGATCTCTAAAAAACAAATCAAATATGTCAAGAGATATAACAGCAACACTTGTTGTATAACATGCCAAGATGTCAAGACATCTGACTCAACATCTGTCTGATATACATGACAGCAGAATCTGTCATGACCGTTGGTCAAGATGTTGTAGTATCTTATTTAACATGAGTTTAGAACCATGTTTTAGCAAAATTTATATATATCCTAAAATTATAGAACTAACAATAATAAAGAGAAAAAATATATTTCAAGACAGCTAAATATCAAAAAATGTAAAATAAAAAAAAAATTAAAAAAAAGTGTTTGAAACACGGAGACAACAACCTAGTGATTAATGACGACAATTGGATCTCCGATAGTCCGCAATTGCATTCGTCCGAAGGGTGGCGAGTCAACGGTCCTTAGAGTATTTTGCCTTTATTTCCCTCATTTATACTCCTACTTTTCATTAATATATATTCTTTAGTCTAATATATCTTGTGTAATTTTTCATCAATATCTTTTTCGGTCAGTTAAAAAATAAAATTCAATAATTTTTATTATTTGAACTATGCAAATAAAATGAAGTTGGAGTATTTTGGTTTTTGAAATAAAGAATTTTAGATTAATTAATAATAAAATATTCTTATGAACCAAAACAATTAAATAAATAAACTAGGTGGTCATCAAAAAAAAAAAAAGGAAAAAGAAGAACCACACATGACATGAAACACATCTTATTATCCCTTCATTCACATTTGTTTGCAACATACACACACCAACCATCACACAAAAAATGTCCTTCATATCTGTTTGTTGTTGCAACGGTTCGGTAGCTCCACTGTCTAGTTCTATTCTTCAAGCTCCACTTCAACCATTCACACTGAAAAGAACCACAGTCATAGCTTCTGCTTCAAAATCTGGAGGAGGATTATCACTCAATTCGGTTTGTCCTTCACACCTAGTTATCCTACTAATGATACCATATTATTTGAGTGCTTATGGTTGATTTTCATGTTTCAATGCTATTATATTATTTTGTAGATATTTAATAGTTGTAAAAATTGCCAAGACAAAGGAGCTATTCAATGTCCAGGATGCAAGGTGCATGTAGCATAAATGTAATTTAATGTTTTATATATGTCTCTTTCATAAAATTATCTTTAATTTGCTTTGGTCTTTAACAGGGAACAGGAAAGAATAAAAAGAATGGAAATATATTTGAACGATGGAAGTAATCTCTTCTCCCTTATATTTGAGTCAATATACGTCTTCTAAATTGTGATACTGATTGCATTTATCACGATGTAAATTAATCACAATTTCAATATTCTTTTGTTGTAACCGTTTTTGTAGTAAATATATTTTCTTAAAACCTCAATATCTATACTTAGATTGTACTAACTTTAGGTTTTTTAAAAGAGAAATAAATTTAAGTGCATGTAAATATCCTCTTATTAGAAAAGTATGTTTTATAAAATTAAAATATATTTAACCTTTGTAATATGTAATGGTATATAGGTGCTTTGGGTGCCAAGGATTTGGGCTAATTGGTTGCCCTACATGTGGAAAGGGAGGGTTGACACCAGAGCAAAGAGGAGAAAGATAAATAAGCTTCAAAAACAGCTAATTTTCTTATAAGTATGGAAAATTTGGAGATAGTGTAAAATTACATGCATGGCAAAGTGTGTATTTGAATGCATGCCTTCATATGTTTATTTTAAATGACAAGAGATGCATATATGTGACTAGTAGATTTTTACTAATGTACTATGTTAGAATGTTTATGTGAATAGTAGTAAAAGCGCTTTTAAAATCAAATCACACACTAACAAATTTTTTAATAGAAATAGGTTAAATTACTTTTTATTGAAAAAAATGAAAAACCAATTTATATTTGTTGATTCTTCATGTTAACAAACAAAAACAGCAATGCTATTTACACTAATTGTCACGTAAATACACTCTTAACGGTATTTATATGATGAATAATATCTTTTAAAAATATTTTTGTTTTTAAAATTTTTGTAATATAAATCAAAAATTTGTCATTATCAATTTTATTATTGTATTAACCAAAAAAAATATACGTTATTAATTATATATTTTATTTATAACTTATTAACCACATTTTCTATTTTATTAACTAATAAAATATATAATATTAACAAAAAATTTACATTAAAGTATAAAATATAATAATCCATTATTTACCCTCTATTAATCAAGTTCTAATGTTAAATTATGAAATATATTAATTAAAATTTTGATATTAAATTGTAAAATATATGAAATATAGTAACAACAAAAATTGGTTAACGAAATGTAAAAATTAATTTTTATATTTTACATTTTAATGTCAGAATTTGGCTAATAGATTTTTTTTCTTCAAATAATCGAAATTCTAGATTATTTACTAAAGTAACCATGTTTCAAACAAAAAAAAATTGAATGCAAGAGGAGGCACCAAACTCGGGGACGCATGCAATCAAATTTGCACACTAGTGTCACTGCATGTGGCGCGTGCACCACTTTGATACCAAGGAAAGTGACACATGCTTTGACTGCTTAAGAGAAGGTGTCATTCCCTCTAGCGACGTAGTGCATTGGTATTTAAAAAAAAAGTTATAATAAATTAAAAATAAATTGCAAAAAAAATACTAATATTATTAAATTTAAATAGAATTATAAGTCAAAAAATTTATAAACATATTTTAACAACGCAGTTGAACATAACAACCACTGGTTCTGCAATCTAGCGATACCCTTCATCGTGGAGGCTGCACACAACCGTTTTGAGGTGGTTGTCATCTCCCATGATTCCTTTTAGGTGTTTGGTTGCTCCTTGGATTCATCTGAGGTGTTTGGTGCAAGGTCCCTGGAACATTAGTATCATCAATCATATCTAGCATCTCTTGTCAGTTACATGTGCCACCGTACTTGAGTTCGATGGCCATGTCTTTGTAGTTGGGTCGTGTTGGTTGGATTAAAGGTTAGCAGGCTGGTTGGTTAAATTGAGTGAATTAGGACATTGATTCATTTTGGAAACGAGACAATGGTTGTTGTGGTGTTTGATAGACATGTGTTGGTTGGTTGTTTTGACGGTGTGATGTTTGGATGCTTTGGTGATGTGATGTATGGGTGTATATTGGTTAGGAGCTATGGTAGGATGTGGTGGTATCATATGTTTCATCGATTTTATGGTAAGATGTGGTGGCAATATATGTTTGTTGGTTGTATGAATAATGTTTTTGGTTTTTTGTTTGGGTGTGTGGCATGAATTTGTCGTGAGTTTGGGTGTATGTGGTTTGGTAATCATGTGGGGTTGGTTCTTGTGTGTATACGATTTAGTAATGTTTTGGGGTTGATTGTTGGGAGTAGGTGGGTTGACAATTTTGTTGAGTTGCTTGTAGGGTGTAGGTGTTTTGGTAGTCATGTTGGCGTATGACGACAAAGCTCGTATGAGTGGGTCGATCAAATACTTCAAATTAGACACAAATTATGGTGTTGTAACTGATCAATACCAATTCATATAATTTCAAGTTGGTTTAGATTCATCTGGCATGATAGGTTCGTTTATGGCCAGAAGATGATGGCGCTTTTGTTTACTGTGGAAATTGGTAAGCAACTGCTAGTCCTCCTTAAGTCTAAAATTAAGGGTTACTCGCGGGATCGACTAGTTAATCCTAAGATATGTGCTAATGGAAACGAAATTGGACTTGTTCTGTCGATGTGGAGTCTTTGTAAGAAACAATATTCTCTAAACAAAGAGAACATGTAAAAGTTTTTCACAAATATGCTATAAATTGATCAACTGAAGGTGACTCACGACCGACAAAAGGCTAGGATTTCTCTTAGACGAAGTAAATGTCGAGCGAATTCTCGGTGAATTCAAGTATTGTGATAGAATGAGATTCAATAAAGTAAATGACAATGTAAAATGATTGTTCAAAAGTAAATAAAGTACAAGTAAAATATTTAAAGGACACAACTGGAAAAAAAAAGGAGTTTGCATTGAAATAAATATGGTGATTCACGTACATTCACACTTTTGAACTTTTTGCTTCCTTACGCTTGGAAATATGAAGTTTTACAAGTGATTTCAGTACAAAGTGAACATCCTGAATCTTACATTGGACCCTCTTATTTATAGTAGTTACGTAATAACTCAACATTCAGTTAATAAAATACTAAGTTGACACGTTTGTGGCTTAATAGGAATTTCCTCCTAAGACTTAGCCACGTAGTTGGCGCCTTGATTCAGAAAACTTCTTGTAACCGCTTTAGTATTCAAATTTCAAAATTTATCCCGTCCATAAATTTTGCTTTCGACATCAACCTTTATTGTGAATGAGTAATCTAAATTCTCTAAGTATTGGATTCCAGTTATGTCGACGAAATAAAGTCAACTATCTCGTTATCTCTTATGTCGACTACTTGCTTTTCTCATTCATCGATTCCTCTTTTATTTTTTATAAGAACTTTCCAACTATCATTTTCATAACTATGAACCTCTTAAAGTTCCTACTCCTGGAAGGAACTTTCCCTTCAACTCATAGGGTTTCCCTATTAACAATACAATAAATGCCTTAAAGAAATTTTAAGGTAACAAAATGTCCCCCATAGATGCCATTTTCGAGTTTGATAGATGTAAGGTAATGGTATCTTTGAACTGTCGACCACTTTCAGTCATAAACTTAATCGTTTTGCATTTCTTAGTTGACATTACGAGTTACCCTTCTTTATGATGTCATACCATCATGATAACATATTGCATATTTTCTTTGAGACATGTGCCTATCAACTCACCCACTATCTTTTTTAAATGGGAGATGTGGCCCACCATCTTTTACCCTATGTCACCACATGTCCTCAGATGCGTCACACGAACTTGAAAAGTTAGATAAAAGAAACTCAAATGTTTTTTGTTTTCCTTTTTAACTTAGGGTTTCTCTTTCATTTCTCTTTGTTTCTACAACCAACACTTCAACGTACCTTCTTCTCAAAAGAATGAAACCCTATTTATTTATAATATTCATCTTCTTCAACACTTTCTTCATTTCTAATGGCGAGTTCATCCAAACTCATTCCTCAATCTGCAAAACTACAACATCCACTCATCATTGATGGAAGAGAATATGTTCCTGAACCTCCTTATGCTGAAGAAAAGGCTAAAATATGGAAATCTCAGTTATTGATTCCTTTTTCTCTCGTTGATGAACCTTTAGCCTTCCTAGGTCCATTTCCTGAAGAAGGTGAAACAATAGTTTCTACAGATGAACGTGCATTTTTCCCATGCATTAATGTTACTAGACCTTTAGTTTCCCTTGAACAACCTCTATCTCTCCAGTATGTTGATAGAAACTTTAGAACTGCTCCTCCTTGAAATTGCCCTAAATTTCGTGCTTGGATGGAACGTTTAGAGGTAGAGAAAGCTCACCAATGGAAAGATTTAGGTATTTACACCCTTTTGCAAATATCTCATTGTGGTCCCCCTTACTCTTGTGGTATGTTTCTTGTTGCATTACAATTTTGGGAGGGATCGCAAACACCTTCCATACAAAATGTGGCATGATAACTCCTACACTCTTAGACATAGCTGCCATCACAAGTTTAAATCTGAATGGTCGCATTTTTAACTTTGAGGATTTAGCTCTTATGCCTTTGAAATTCAATGTAGGTGAAACCAGAAATCCGAGTTACAATAACTTCATCGACCATCATGCTAGAATAGCAGGCCCCATTATTCTTGAAGAACACGTAGCCTTTTTGACTCTATAGCTATCTCGTTTTTTCTTCTGCTCCAGATCCATGCAAATAGAAAAACAATACTCATATTTAGCCACTCAGTTATATCATGGTCGTGATGTTTCTCTAGGACAATTAATTTTAGCCTCGCTTTATGAATCCTTGACGAAGGTTATTTCCCAAATAAAAACCTTTGACCCCACTCACTCCAAAAAAAAGAACATTTTGGCCCATGGCTCTTTTTGGTTCTTGCAATTGTGGCTAAATGCCACCTTTTCTAAAGATATTAAGCCTTATGGGATGAAAAGAGTGGCATGTCCTCTGACGAAGCGCCACATTATTTGGAAACGCCTGATCCCAATGACTCGTGGTGAAAAGACTTTTCCCAATATTTAGGTGTTTCGACTCATATTCAACATTATGTTAACTCGCGTCGAGTTTGAGCCTTCTATGGCGCCCTTTTGTGCCAGATTGCACGGGCTTAAATTGTTCACTAGGGCTTTCCCTCCTCCTAAGGAGGAAGACAAGAGTAACTAAGTATCTTGGGGCATTTTTTATCTCCTCAATTATTGTCTGCAGTTGTTATCGGTAGCACACCAGGATTGGTAACTTGCCAGCCAAATTTGGTGGCTCGACAATTTGGACTTTTCCAGTTCACGCCTAAATCTCTATATCCTTCATTGGAGCTGCTCTTAAATATCACCACTGACCAACCTTATGTTGTCTCTAAAAAGGATTTCGAGAACTTTTGGGAAAAAGGCCTAGACTTGCTCTCATTCCTTTTTAAACTGCTTTTTATTGTACAAAAGAATTTGAAACTTGGTGGCAATCATATGTCGAGACATATTTTGGTTCTCCTGG